AAATAAATAAAATAAAGGTATTGTGTCCAACTACAACTAAAAAATAAATATTAAAAAAATATTCAACAACATTAATTATTAGGGAACTAAGTTCAAAATTAAGAGATACCATTTCATATCCACTAGGATGTTTATTAACAAAAACCACCCAGGAAAACAAGTATTGTAGAGGATGTAAAGAAATTAAAATCCCTGAGCAAGATGATGGGAATGTAAAATGGTATAGGTACAATCATTGGTGTCCCAATGGGATAGCCACTATGGAAGAAAAAAGTATGGCAGCTCTTCAGAAATTCCCCTTCTTGATACATATCCTAAAGAGTTGAAAAATGAGGGCCTGGAAGGTGTATCAGTGGTAGAGCACTTGCCTAGCATGGAGGAGGCCCTGGATTAGAGTCCCAGTGAAATACACAGACACAGACACACACACACACACACACACACAAAAAAAAAAAAAAGAATTGAAAGCCAGGACAGGAAGAGATATTTGTACACTCACATCCATAGCAGTGTTAATCACAATAGCCCAAAGGTAAAAGCAACCTAGATGTACACCTCATAGATAATGGATAAATAAAATGGAATATATACATACAATGGAATATTATTAAGCCTTAAAAAGAAAATTCTTTTTTTTTTTTAAATATTTATTTATTTTGTAGTTTTCGGTGGACACAACATCTTTGTTTGTATGTGGTGCTGAGGATTGAACCCGGGCCGCACGCATGCCAGGTGAGCGCGCTACCCCTTGAGCCACATCCCCACCTCCTAAAAAAGAAAATTCTAACACTTGCCATAACATGGATAAATCTTAAGGACCTTATGCTACACGAAATAAGCCAATCTCAAAAGGACAAATTTTGAGTCCACTTAAATGAGATTATTTAGAGGAGTTAAATTCGTAAGAATAGAAAGTGGTTGTCAGGAATTAGAAGAGGAGGAAATGGGGAATTACTACTTAATGACTAGTCTGTTTAGGGAAAAAAAAAATTCTGGAGATGGGTGGTGGTAATGATCACACAACAATGTGAATGTACTTAATGCCACTAAATTGTACCTTTAAATATGATCAAAATGGCAAATTTTATGTATATTTAACCACAATTTTCTTAAAAGACATGTCAAGTCTAAATTATGAATGGCAGTAAAACATAACTTAACATGAAGTGCTTACTATTTTAAAACAAATTCTATTATTAAAATAGAAAACTGAGGCTGGGCATAGGCAGTACATGCCAGTAATCCCATCTACCTGGGAGGATGAGGTAGGAGGATTACAAATTCAAGTCCAGCTTGTTCAACATTGCATGAGACCCTGTTTCAAACAACAACAAAGTAGAAAACTATAACTCAGCTTTAGAAAAATCTAGGAAAAGTAATTGATGTACCAATTTATTTTTTCTTGTGTTGGTTTTGCAATGATGGGGATGGAAACCAAGGCCTTTTGCATGCTAGGAAAATGCTCTACCACTGAACTACCCCTAGCATCCCATTTCACTTTTTCTAGACTTACATATACATTCTACATTACATTTCCCAGAATAACCATGACTGTTTTTGTTGTTGTTGTTTGTTTGTTTTGTAGTTTTTTATTTGTTTGTTGTTTTTTTAAATACGATGCTAAGGATCAAATCTTGTATCTCACATGTGCTAGGCAAGCGCTCTGCCACTGAGCCACAGCTCCAGCTCCGAACCATGAGTTTTTAAAGATAAATTAACTTTAGTTAATAAAATATTTAATTTTACTTTAGGTAATTTAATTATGTCAATTTGAAGATCTATAATTATAAATTAACTTCAATGTAGAGGAAGAGTATGAGAAACACCTAGTGTGTAAAAATAACTAATAATATATAACATTTAATTTAAAAATTAAATTTATTTTGTAGTGCTAAGGATCAAACCTAGAATCTGTCTTATGAATACTAGGGCAAGTGCCACATCTCCAGCCCCCAAATAACATTTTTTAAATGTTAAAATATAAAACTATTTTTAATATAAAAATAATATGGGCTTATTGGGGCTGGGGTTCTAGCTCAGTGGTAGAACGCTTGCCTAGCATGCGTGAGGCACTGGGTTTGTTCCTCAGCAACACATAAAAATAAATAAATAAAATAAAGGTATCATGGCCATCTACAACTAAAAATATTTTAGAAAAATATTCAATATGGGCTTACTTTAAGCAAACTAAAAACAGTCAAGGTGAAAGTATAAAGCAAAAATAAGTATTCCCATTAATATTAATAATTTATTTTACATTCTTTGAAAACTTTGTTCTATTTTTGCACATGCATATATTTGTATTCTAATTTAAGTTAAATATTGTTAAGTGACATAGGTACTGATGCTTATGAAGAATACAAAAGAGACATTATATGCTCCTGTCTATCCCACCTTCTGTACCAACATTTTTTCTTTTTTGAATAAAAAATGATTTCTTACTTGGGGCAGGCAGCCCACCACTGGATCGCTTATATTTGCTCTCCTTTAAAATGGATGTGATTTTATATAAATGACGGAAACCCGTTTTACATTCAGAGGCAAAAATAAACTCAATTTCATCTTCGTGAGTTTGGGGAAAAACATGAAAGATGTCGTGGATCTGTAAAATGAATAGCTTAATTTACTATACACATTAATGAAAATACTACATAAATAATTCAATTAAGCTAGAGAAGGAAGAATTATTGGTAAACGTAATTAAGAACTGCCAGTGCTAGGGATATGGTATAGTTACAATAACAGGTTTTGCCTGAGCCTTTCATATTTACTTTACTTTAGATAAAAGTGTTCATCCATCAAGAAATACATGCTTCCAAACGGAAAAAGAAAAAGAAAAAAGATATGACCAAGATCCTTTGGTTCATAAGTGCGATGATTGGGTGTTCACGCTCTTATGTGAGATATGCCTCCCTCTAAACTTTATTACGACATCGGTACATTACCCATATGACATGAACTTTGAGGGAAAAAAATATGACCAAAAACTTCTATGATCTTTGAAACATGGTACAGTGTTTGTTTAATGATACATATCTTAACACAAAATGATGAGGAACAACATTTTTTACTTATGTTTTTCAAAGAGAAATATTCTATCAGGGAAGGAAAACAGATGTTTGTCTGTTTAGATGAAATGCATTAAGCCTATATTCAGTTAGGAAGTAAAGTGGCTATATTTATTTTGTGTCTTATTTAAGTTTTAATGCTAAAATGAAAAATGCAAAGAATTAAAACCTGGTATATTTTGGTATAGTTTACCGACTTAACAGAGAGAGACTTTTGTAGATTAAATTCTGAAAGTCCTCTTAGAAGCAAGAAGGGCTGAAGATTAAGCTGAATATTTTGATACCTAACGTATCCAGGAACAAATTCACACCGAGATGTCATTGCAATGGCATTTACTTTTTATCTACACACTCTTCCATTCTAAAACCATCATTCCAACTGAAATATTCAAACTAAGGAAATAACATTCATAGTTCCTTTGAGCTTAAAAAAATGCATTTTGATAGTTTGCTATAAAACTTCATTTGCTTTAGCATTCTAAGGAAATATTTAGCCAAGTACAGGGAAAAAATGCATATACGTTTATCCAGATGTCTGTTGTTTCTTCATAGATAATGAGTGGTGTCACAGAATCAGGCACTGACTCGATGAGTCTCTGTCTCTCCATAGCATCATCTTCTACTGGGATAAATAATTCAGGCGAGATCAATACTATCTGTAGACGAGTTTGCGAACGATCTAGTAGGATGGACCAAGCACTATTTAAACAAATAAAGAAAAGCACCAGAAATAAAGAAGCTCTCAGAAAATGAATAATCCCTTATTCTCTTTCATGGCACCTATTGATTATTTCTATACTTACATTGAAAGAACTGCTTTATTATATAGTAAATTATTACTTATAAATAGCTAATTAAAAATACAGTTATTTTCAAAAGTTAAGTATGAGGGCTAAGCATATATATGGCTTAGAGGTAGAACATTTGCCTAGCATGCATGAGGACCTGGGTTCAATCCCCAGCACCACAAGAAAAAAAAAAAAAAAAGTTTGAATAGAGTTTTAAAAGTGGTTTTCTTTCAATTTCCAAAATCATTATTGGCCTTTGAAACTGTTTTTGCCCTTTAGTGCCTACAAATGCCAGTCTCATAAAAATCCTGTTGTCTACATAAGACATAAGAACTATACGTAATTATTCTCATAAGGCTCTATAAATATTTCTGCCAAAATTATACGATTAAAAAATGCTTATTTGGGCTGGGGTTGTGGCTCAGCGGTAGAGCACTCGCCTAGCACATGCGATGCCCTGGGTTCGATCCTCAGCACCATATAAAGATAGGTGGATAGAGGTATTGTGTCCAACTACAACTAAAAACTAAAAATTAAAAAAAAAAATACTTATTTATGTGTGAGCCTTGAAGTCAGACAATTCAACCAAAAATAACACTGTAAACCATTAACCGCTAAGTAAGAGAATTAAAATGCAATACACTTATGCTGCTTGGATTATAAATCTGCCAGTTCCCTTAGTTCAGGAAAAATTCCCTGTGCAGAAATAATTATACTGCAAATTTACATGTGAAGGCAGCTCCCATTTCTAAAACTCTGGATCCTAAATTAGTTGTAAAGAGGTGACAATTTAACATACGCACTATTTTCCCTCAGGAGTCCATCCAGCTCTGGCAATATATTCAACTCCTTCAAAGAGAATCTCAAAAGGTTGAATTAGTTCTTTATCTATGACATCTGTAATCTATTAAAAAAGAAAAAAGGAATGTTGTTATAGAAGGTTTAGAAAAATAATTAAACTCACTAGTCTACTTAAATCATCATCTGTAATACCAGACTTCTTTTTGAGATGTAGGTATTTAAAACAGAACAAAGGATGCAGGAAAAAACAGCAGTAAGTGGTGAGTTACTTTTCCTGGTGCTTTTTATGCCTAAGAAAGTTCTAAACACAAGAATTAGCACAATCTAAACATCTTTTCCTTTAAGTTTATACTAGAAGAAAGAACTCTTGATAATAAATTATATAATCAAGTTTTAATCACTTTAGACTCTAGAATCTAAGAAAAATAATAATCCTCGGTTCCCTATATTTTAGTTTAAAATATATTTGTGTAATATATGTTTGAAATGCCCTGGACAAGCAATGTTTTTTTTTTCGTTTAAAGGTCTAGCAAACAAAATTTAAAAAATAAATACATGCTCTAAAACGGGCAAAGGATCTGAATAGATAGTCCTCCAAAGAAGATATATAAGTGGCTAATAAACATAGGAAAAAATGTTCAACTTCATTAGCCATAAGGGAAATGTAAAGCAAAATCAACATGAGCTATCACTTCAAACCCACCAGGATGGCTATTATAGATAAGATGGATAGTAACAAGTGTTGGTGATGATGTGGAGAAATTGGAAACCTCATACAATGCTAGTGGGAAAATAAATAGCGCATGCGGCTACTTTAGAAATCAGTTTAGCACTTTCAAAAAAGATTAAACATAGAGTTAACATATGACTTAACAGTTTTACTCCAAAGGATATACCCTAGAGAAATGAAAACATAAATCCACACAAAAGCTTGTATATACATATTCAGGCAATTTTATTCTTAACAGCAAATAAGTATAAACAACACAAATATCCATGAACTGATGAATGGATAAATAAAATGAGGTGTTTCATACAATGAAACATTACTTAGCAATAAAAGAAATGAAGTACTCAAGCTGGGGATGCAGTTCAGTGGTAGAATGGTGCCATGCATGAGACCTTAGATTTAAACCCCAGTATCACCAAAAAAAGGAGAAATAAGTACTAGAACATGGTACATTTGAAAACATTAATTTAAAAGCAGCCAGACAATGTATTATATGATTTAATTTATATGAAATGTCTAGAGATAGAAAGCAGATCAGTGGTTATTTAGGGTTAGTGATATGGGGAGGTTGGGTGAATGATGGCTAAGAGGTGTTGGGTTTCTTTCTGAAGTGACGACAATGTTCTAAAATTGACTGGTTGTCCAACTCTATGAATGTACTAAAAGCCAAGGAATTTTAAACTTTAAATGAGTGAATCGTATTGTATGTGAATTGTATCTCAGTAAAGTTATGTAAAAAAATTCTAGCAGAGAGAACTGCTTTTTAACTTGTGAGCATACAGTTCATAAATATCTGACTGACCACATGGAAACTAGCAGTACAAGAGAAATGTAGGATATTTAACCCTCCATAGATATTTACCCAATACAGAAGGCAAATCACTAGTTTTTTTTTTTTTCTTTTTAAAAACTGTTTTTAGTTGTACATAATAGTAGAATCCCTATTGACATAGACAAACATGGAATATATTCTAATTCAGACCCAGTACCTCTCCTTCCCCTTCCCTTTTCCCACCCCAGTTCCTTCCCTCTACTGATCTTTCTGCCATTTACCCAGTTATTTTTTTAAAATTAATTTCTTGTACACAATGGGGAGATTCACTGTGGTATACTTATATATGTACATTGGAAAGTTATGTCAGATTCATTCCACTGTCTTTTCTTTTCCTATCCACCTAAAATATTTTCTTGATCTCAAGAATATCAGAGACTATTATAGCAGGGTTTTAAAAATATATTTTAATTGCATGAATCATTTGCTGCCTTGTTCTTTCCTTCATGTTCCATTCAGAGAACTAGGCTCTTTGTATTAGGCACTTTTCAGGGTAGAGAACTACATACATAGTGTAAAGTCAATAATGAGTTGCTCTTCTGCAAATGTGGAAGTCCTTTGAAAAGAAAATGTAAAGAATTCTAGTACAGAACGGCCTGATGAACATACATGCAAATGCCCTCAACAGAATATAAGAAAACTGAATCCAATATCACATTCAAAAGATCATATACCACAACCAAGTGAGATTTAACCCTGGGATGCAAAGATGGTTTGAAATATAATAATCAATTAATGTAACACACCATATTAAGAGAATGAACAAAAAAGAGCACATTATCATCTCAACAGCCTAGAAAGATATTTAATAAAATTCAACACCCTTTCATGAAGAAAACAAATTAGATATGGAAATAATTTATATCCATATAATAAAGTTCACGTATGAAATAAAATTTTTTATTCTAATTTGTTATATATGACACCAGAATGCATTACAATTCATATTACACATAAAGAGCACAATTTTCATGGTTATATACAAAGTATATTCACACCATTCATGTCTTCATACATGTACTTAGGGTAATGATGTCCATCTCATTCTACCATCTTTTTTACTTCCTTGCCCCCTCCCTTCCCCTCCCTCCCCTTTGCCATATCTAAAATTTGTCTAATCTTCCCATGCTCCCCCTCCCAACCCCACTATGAATCAGAAAAACATGGAACACTTCAAGAACTTGCGTGTTATCCTCGCACAGGGGCCATGCTAATCTTCTTTGTATTGTTCCCATTTTACTATATGTGCTGCCGAAGCAAGCACTAAATCACTAATTTTAACATTGAAGAATTAATAAAGGCAAAGAAGAAAAACTATTGGAAAGGAGTGGCAAACATGGATATCCCTATATTCATATCTTGGGAATCAGCAGTAAGTTTGGAAGTAGAAAATTTTTGGTCAACCTAAAAATCATGATCCATAGATATTTGGCAAGTCCAAATCCAAAAAATAAAAAATAAAAAAAAAGTTATCAAAGGCCCTTACTAGATTGATTAGATTAGTTAGAGGGCACAGAAGTCAACTCAACATTTAATACTTACCCTTCCTTCAGCATCAACCATTATTTCCGACATCTTAAAAGTGACTTTTGGATTTGCTGTGCCTTTAGAAAGAGACATAAGTGAGTAGTAATGTATATCTAAAATTACTTGCACTAATTGAGCTAGATCAATCCTGTTTATACTTTAGTTAAGCTGGTAATACTGAAGATAGCCACAGCTTTTTTTTTTTTGTGGTGCTGGGGATTGAACCCAGGGCCTTGTGTATGAGACAAGCACTCTACCAACTGAGCTATATTCCCAGCCCAATAGTCAGAGCTTTATTACACAGGAATCTCAGGAGGAAATGAATGAATACAAAGGCCATCTTAAATTCAAACTTTTAAATATGGATATTAAAAGAACAGAGGCTAAAAAAACCTGAAGGATCAGTATGAAATAAAAGGAAATTCTGTACCATTTTAAAAAATGAAAGCTGTGAGCAGTAAAATAGACAAAAACTTACTAATTTATTAAGAACAGAATTACTAAAAAAACTTTATTTGGCAGAGAAGATACTTACTTTCTTTTTTTTGAAGGTATTGGGGATTGAACATTCTAGACAAGTGATCACTGAGCTACATCCCCTACATCCCCGCTTTTTTATTTTTTGACACAGGGTTTCACTATATTGCCCATGTTGGCCTCAAACTCGCAATTCTCCTGTCTTAGCCTCCCAAGTAACTGGGATTACAGATAAGTGCCACCACGTTCAACCACCTCCTTATTTGTTTCTCGAAGTAAACAGTGTTGTAGACATCTCCACTTTGAAAATAATCTTTTTTAAACATTTATTTTTTAGATGTAAATGGACACAACACAATGCCTTTATTTTTATGTGGTGCTGAGGATCGAACCTGGGTCCCGCCCGTGCTAGGCGAGCGCTCTACCGCTGAGCCACAATCCCAGCCCTGAAAATAATTTTTAAAATCTATTTTAGTGACAACACACTATCCTTATTAAGGTTGTAAATAACCAATGCTGACTACACCTTAGAATGACTACAGGAGGAAATCTTATTTAGAAGGGGGAAATGAATGAATACAAAGGTCAATGGAACACAGTACCTGTTTTAGGATAACGAAATGAATCTGCTCTCCTTGTTTCCAACAAAGGGGATGTAACATGAATAATTTCCACTTCTGATTCATCATTTTCTTCATATAGAATTCTAAGAATTTTACCGCCATTAGGAGCTTAAAAGGAATTTAGATATTGTAAATGTAGAAGAATTACTCCAGAAAATAATCATAACTAACTATTCCCTCTAGTATTAGATTTATTTATTTTTTTTTAATATTTATTTTTTAGGTGTAGATGGACACAACACAATGTCTTTATTTTTTATGTGGTGCTGAGGATTGAACCTGGGTCCCACCTGTGCTAGGTGAACACTCTACCGCTGAGCCACAATCCCAGCCTCACTAGTATTAGATTTCTGATAATGAAAAATAATTTGTGTACAAAATGTGCTACTTATTTATTTATTTAGTGGTGTGGGGGATTGAACTCAGGGCCTCACACATGCTAGGCAAGTGCTCTGCCACTTAGCCACACCCTCAGCCCACAATGCCTTTTACATATAAAAATATAACTTGTCTTTGTAATAGCAAAGGGAGTTACTGCTTACTCCTATTACTTTTTACTGGTTCTTTTGGGGGAAAAAACTGAAGATGATACATACATATTTTTTAAACAGGGGAAAACATTATTTTTTAAAATTTTCTTTATTTTTTTTTAGTTGTAGATGGACACAATACCTTTATTTTATTTATTTATTTTTATGTGGTGCTGAGGATTGAATCCAGTGTCTCCCACATACTAGGCAATGTCTCTACCACTGAGCTACAACTCCAGCCCCAGGGGAAGACATTTTTGAAGGGCTGTGTCTTTGCATACTTTAAAATGCATTCTTTGTTAAAAAGGGAATTATTTAATTTATAATATTTCCTACAAAGTGTTATTTAAATAGAATCCAGTTATTTTGAATCATTTATTTGTATAAAAATCTGATCTAATAAAATATAATTATGGCAAAATATTTCATACCTTAAAATTAAATATAAATATTTAAAAATAAATATTTGTCCCTTGGATGTGTGGGCCATAAAAGGTATTAATGGATAATAACCAACGTTTTAAAAACCAACACAGGAAAGGGTAATAGTATCAGAGTGCACTGCATATAAGGATAAATATTGCTTCATAAAATTTGTTTTATCTATAAAGTATATGTAAAATTATTAGATCATGATTATAACCAAATTTCTAACTGGATCATGGTCAAAAAGTTGTAAGTTATTACTTAGAGAGTTGTTTTGCAGGCAATGAAATACTTGCATAGTCATCCACTGGTTTGGTTATCTATTCATGCAAACTCTTGTCAATCACGCTTTTCAGTTGGCCTTGAACTTGTAAAAACCCTGGCTCAGCCCCCTGAGTTGCTGGGATTATAGATGTATGCCACTGTGCGTGGCTCTAATCATACATAGAAACTCATTAAGAAGTGGTCGTTTAAATTTTGCTATAATATTGCCAAAATTACCAAAAACAGCTTGTAGGTGAAAAATTGGCAAAGAAAATCAAGAACCTGAGGTACTAAACTATAATACCGTTGTTTTCAGTAGAATTCATTATGGTGAGATATAGAGTCTATGTATTTATTCTACATAACCAGTATCTAATCATTATTACTTTAGTATCTATTATCTGATATTCAGAATCTGTATACTTAATCAATTGACAGGTGAATCTTTTAATATTTCAATTGACCTATAATACATTATTTTGAACTTCCTTACTTGTTTCAGCTTCTGGACACCACCAATAGCCAGAATATCTATCAAATTCTTCTTGAAGAACAAAGGTAGCAACTCCAGCTGATCTAGGATCCTCTTCCATGTTAGCTAACTCTAGACAAACATAAAAAACAAAATCACAAAAAGCTATTTTTTCATAGTACAAAGAAAACAATATAATTCCGTTTATTTTGAAAGGTAGCTGAGTGGAGTGATGAACTCTAGAACCAAATGGATTGAGTTCAAGTTTGAGCTCCAACGTTTACCTATTGTCTAACATTAAGCAAATGGATCTCATTCCACTGCAGTATTCCATTTGCAAATGGGACTTTATTAGGTTGTTATGAGGCTTAGATTAATTAACTTACATAAAATGCTAAGAATAAAGCCTGGACCATAGTACATGCTCCATAAGAGTTATTACTTTTCCACCAGGCACAGTGGTGCATGCCTGTAATCACAATGAATGGGGAGGCTGAGACAGGAGTATCGAAAGTTTGAGGCTAGTCTAGGCAGCTTAGTAAGACCTCATTTCAAAATAAAAAATAAAGAAGAATGGGTTATGATGTGGTGGTAGAGCACCCCTGGGTTCAATCCCTAGTACTTAAAGGAAAAAAAATTACTTTTCCATTTACTCAGAATGATGAAAAAAAGAAACTCTTCTATACAAAGAAACACATCTTTATAGACTTAGAACATTAGTGAGGCCCTAGGTTCGATCTCCAGTGAGAGACAGGCAGACAGACACACACACACATACACACACACACCAATTTACTAGATTAGTTTTTTTCTTTCTTTTTTTTTTTTTTGGTGCTGGGGATCAAACCTAGGGCCTTGTGCATGCAAGGCAAGCACTCTACCAACTGAGCTATATCCCCAGCCCCTTAGAATAGATCTTACAGATCACATAATTCAATCATTCCTTCCATTCAACCAGAGCAGCTCAGCTTTTATCTGTTTACACTTAGGTTGTTAACAAATAGTATGAAGGGAACTCGTTTTTAAAAAAATCCTGTTGGGCCTGGGGATATAGATCAATCGTAGCACTTAGCATGTACTAGGCCCTTGGTTCAATACTTAGCACCAAAACCAACAAATAAATAAATTCACAAAATCATAATTATATTAGATTTTATGTGATACAGAAATGTTTATATACTTCATGACTGGTCTCTTTCTGAGATTCATCAATGTTGTCACATGTATCTGTAATTCATTCCTCTTTACTGCTAAACTGTATTCCATTTAAACTATCCCCACCTCACCCCATTCAATATGAGAATTGAACGTATGAGTGCTGTACCACTGAACTATATCCTATTTCTTTTTTATTCTGAGACAATGTCTTGCTAAGTTGCCCAGGTTGATCTCAAACTTTCAATCCTCCTGCTTCAGTTTCCTGGGTAGCAAGGATTACTGGTATGCACCATCATGTCTTGCTATACCATAGCAAGATTAATAATAGATTTAAAATCCATTCATCTGTTAATGTATGTTTGGGTTGCTTCTAGTTTTTGGCTATTATGAATAAAAATGCCACAGACATTCTTTTTTTTTAATATTCACTTTTTAGTTGTAGTTGGACACAATACCTTTATTTCACTTATTTATTTTTATGTGATGCTGAGGATTGAACTCAGGGTCTCGCACATGCGAGGCGAGCACTCTACCGCTGAGCCACAACCCCAGTCCCCCATAGACACTCTTTATAGAATATTTTTAAACATTTGTTTTAATTTCTCTTGAACAAGTAAATACTTAGAAGTGGAGTGACTGGGTACAAAGGAAAATATATGTTTAACTTGATCAGAAACTAATAGTTTTCCAAAGTATTTGTGATATTTTATACTCTTAACCAGCAATGTGTGTAAGTTCTACAATGTTTGGTGTAGTCTAGGTGTGTAGTAATATCTCATTATGATTTTAATTTTCTAAACAAGTCCCCCCTCCCTTTTTTTTGAGATACGGTCTCACTATGGGGTTGGCCAGGCTGGTCTCAAATTCCTGAGCTCAAGAGATCCTCCCAGGGGCTGGGGTCGTAGCTCAATGGTAGAGCACTTGCCTAACATGTATGAGGCACTGGGTTCAATCCTCAGTACCACATAAAAATAAATAAGCAAAATAAAGTTTTTTTAAAAAAAGAGATCTCCAATTTCAGTCTCTAGTGCTGGGACTATAGACATGTACCATTATGCCCAGCTTAGGCAAGTTTCGACTTATTTTTGCTTATCTGTATTTTCTAGATTGTCTCATATCAATGAGCAGTAGAAACCAATATTCTCTTATCTAAAAAATTTGAGTCTAGAAGCATTTGGTGTTCAGAATGTGGAGGATTTTCCATTTATTGTACACCTACTTATTATGTAACATCTCCAATAGGGTAAGCAAATGAGCGGTAATCCAATACCCTAATATTCCTGCAGCAAACATGAATAGGCTCACTAAGTAGGATTAAGATTATAAATACCCTCAGGGCAGTTCAGGTCAGGTTTGCGATGAAGTGAGTTTTAGCCCTTAGCTAATGAAAATTAAACTGAGTTTTCAGAGCTTTTTCAATTTTGGAATTAATAATAGAGCAAAGACCAGTGCTTACTTTCCTTCAATCTTTCAACTATCCCAAAATTATACCACAACCTGATTTTATATTTTGTCCTCTTTTAGATATGAGGATGGTTATTACTCGTTTGTACCTCCCTATTACTTATTACGGAGACCTCAATTATTGAGTTACTTATGAACTGAATAAATGGTATCATCTTGTCCTCCCAATAAGAGGAGTTAAATTTAGGAGCAGAAGCTAGTTTTTATTTACTTTTCAATTCTTCTATCATATTAGGCAGAGAATAAACATGCACACGCTGACTGATTAAACTTACTTTCTGAAGTGAACTTTCACTTAGAACCTATTGCAAATAAGGAGACTGGATTGATGATGCTCCTTCCCCCTCTCTCTTTCTATCTAAACACTTGTGTCCACAGCACTTAGCACTTTACACACAGGCACAGCTCTAAACAATTCACAAATATTAACTCATTAAAGCCTTATAACAATCCCATGTTGAGTAGTAATTAAGAGTTTTACAGATAGAGAAATTAAGAGAGAGGTTAAATAACTTCACAAGGTCACAGAATTAACAGATGGTAGATCTAGGACTCAAACTCAGGTAATCTGGTTCTCCATTATTTTATATTCTCTATCTATATTCTTAATAATACATTAGTACTAAATTGTGTGTGTGTGTGGTTTTTTTTGTTTTGTTTTGTTTTTGGTACTGGGGATTGAACTCAGGGGCATTCAACCACTGAGCCACATCCCCAGCCCTATTTTGTATTTTATTTAGAAACAGGGTCTCACTGAGTTTCTTAGTGCCTCACTTTTGCTGAGGCTGGCTTTGAACTCATGATTCTTCAGCCTCAGCCTCCCGAGCCGCAGGATTACAGGTGTGTGCCACCATGATAGGTAGTGCTAAAATTAATAAACACACCATATACTATATGTGCAGTAAAAAGATGAATAAAAAGACAAATGTAACACCCTGCAGGATTTCAATGCTTTCTAATTTAAATTCTGTCAATCATCAATTCTGGTGAACAGCAATTTTATAAAAGGAAAAGACTAAAAAATGCCCTAATTTTGACAGTTATGTTAGAATTTTGTAGTCCCAACCTCAATAACAATAACTATTACATAGTGAATACTCAATGTTAAAAGCATGAAAAAATGGCTAGGATTCTCAACACACATTTACGAGCCAATCACCCTAATCGTTCTGCTGCCAGTGGTAGCTGTTCTGATTTCCTGACTTCAAAGGGAGAACCATTAAATACTAAAACCTGCACTTAAGAGTCTCCCTATTCCACTCCCCCTTCTGTCTTTTGATCTTGTATTATGTCATGTAACTTCAGTAATTTCAATAGTCAAGCTTTGGTGTCCCTGTTATAATCTTTTTTTTCTCAAATATGACTTCCACAAAGTATCCAGAACAATTTATTTATAAAATGACTAAAACCCATACCACACAACAGCTGAAGACCTCCATATCATGATAAAGTTCTTACCGAGATATAGTCTTCCTTGCCCTGGTTCTTTTGACTCAGTCCTTATACTTTTGGATACCATACTGCTAACTTCTCACACAGACCACAACATCTTTTGCATCTACCTTTCTTATACAGTTCCCTTTTCTGGGATGTACTGGCTAATATAAGACAGTATTTGGTATCAATTTAGGTGTCATCTTTTCTGGGACGTATTCCCTGATGACTCTTTCTCATTGGTCCTCTATAACATCTTGTATTTGACTCTTACTTTGCTTAATTGTCATCTGTTTATGTAGCTTCCTTGAAGAACAGGCCTATATCTTATTCAATTTCATATCCTTAGAACAGATGTACTGAAAAGAATTAGTTCAAGGACCTTCCTCAGACACCAAAATCTATGAATGTTCAAGTCTCTTCATAAAATAGTATAGTATTTGCATTTAACCTATTGCGCATTCTCATGTATGTTTTAAATAATCTCGAGATTACTTTCAATACAAGAAAAAAAATAGTCTATACATGTTCAATACAAACACAACCATTGTAAGCCTAACTGCATAGTACATGAATGAGACATGAGATGATCAATGATCAAATAAAAACTGGAAAGAGAAAGAGAATCTATGCAAATGGTGGGAGGCCATAGCAAGGTGTTCCTATACATCATTTGTGGGGATTTGGTATAGTGCTTGAAATATAAAAATTTCAAGTTTTGCTTTGAACTCTCTGGAATTCTTTTCCTAAAATTTTTCTGCTTATTGTATGTGTGGTGCTTGGGATTGAACCTAGGGCCTCACATGTAGCAGGGAAGTGCTCTATCACTGAGCCACATCCCTAGCCTCTTCCTAAATGTTTTGATCTGCAGTTAGATGAGAAACCTATAGATAGAGAACTGGTTGTACCTGCCACATTATTTAGCACACCAGAAATTAAGTAAATTTTGGTTGCTTGATTGAATGTTAAGAGATTTTTAAAAATATTTTTTTTAGATGCTGATGAACCTTTATTTTATTCATTTATTTATATGCAGTGCTGAGAATCGAACCCAGTACCTCACACATGCTAGGTAAGCGCTCTACCACTGAGCCACAACCCCAGCCCTAGAAGAGATTTCCTGACTATTAATTTAGCACTCTATTAATATAAATGGCTCAGGTTTTAAGTTTCAAAAATACTGATTATCCTCATGATGAAAAAGTATTTGCTGGGACTGGGGCTGTAGCTCAGTGGCAGAATGCTTGCCTTGCACGTGTGAGGCACTAGGTTCCATCCTTAGCACCACATAAAAATAAATAAGGGGCTGAGGTGTAGCTCATCAGTAGAGTGCTTTCCTAGTAAATGTGAGGCATTGGGTTCAATCCTCAGCACCACAAATAAATACTAAAAAAATAAATAAAATAAAGACATGCTGTCCATCTACAACTATAAAAAAAAAAATTTAAGTGTTTGCTGTTAACTACTGCAGGCTAAAACAATTTAGCTCATATTCAACCTTGAGCCAGGTGCAGTGGTACACACCTGTAATCCGAGTGATTTGAGAGGCTGAGATAGGAAGATTGCAAGTTTGAGGTCAGCCTCAGCAATTTAGCAAGAATCTGTCTCAAAATAAAAAATAAAAGGACTGGAGTTTTGGCTCAGTAGTAAAGCACCCCTCCCAAATACCAAAAATAAAAATAAAATAAAAGGAATGCAGTTCAGTGATAGAGTTCCCCTGGGTTCAATCACTAGTGGGTGGGAGTAGGGGGGTGTTGGTGAACAAATCAACCTTGATTAGCAAGGTTTCCTGATCTACTATGACACACAGTGACATCATCTTCAAAATTTTTATAGGAGTTACTATTTCTTTTACTTATCTGTTTTTTTTCAGTATACTTCATAACTGTATCATTCTGTTTTCCTACCTATAATATAATCTCTGTCAAATAATGTAATTAATTGTAACTAATAATTGATGATGAGGGGATGATTAAGAAAGATGGCCAGTAAATCAACTTTGTGAACATCAGAGTAAGCAAAAGTTAAACAAATTAGTTTTCAGAGTCACCACCCTTTATTATAGAGCTTAAACTTTATTTCAGATATTCAAAGGAAAAGCAATATACTATTTTCCATCTTTTATTTGCAGGAAATCTTTTCTTCTTGTTTTTTTTTTTTTTGGTACTAGGGATTGAACTCAGGGGCACTCGACCTCTGAATCCCATCCCCAGCCCTATTTCATATTTTATTTCTAGACGGGTCTCACTGAGTTGCTTAACACCTTGCCATTGCTGAGACGGGCTCTGAACTTGCGATCCTCCTGTCTTAGTCTCCCGAGCCACTGAGATTATAGGCATGCACCACTGCACCCAGCTGTATGAAATCTTTAGAGGAAAACATCCATATCTTTTCTTGCTGACTGATGCTACAGTCACTTCACTACAACTTAAAAACACTTCCATAATATACAAGTTCTATAAAATTCTGATTTTGCTATTACGACAATAATAACTAAGCAGACTCTCCAAAACAGAAAGATTAATTTTAGATTGTTTCTGATAGTGTGTAACTGGATTTTGTTTCTTTCCCCAAAACAAGGCTAATATTTGAGATAAAATCTCACTATGTTGCCCAGACTTGTCTCTAACTCCTGGGTTCTAGGAGTTCCTCTTGCCTCAGATTTCTAAGTGCTAGGATTACAGGCATGCTACCATTGTGCCTGGAAAAATTTTAATTTAATGAAAACAGTTTGGAGAAATTTTTCAGTTTTATCATGCTAAAGGAAAATCATGTCTGAGGTGCTATTGTAGTGCTGCTCCAAAATGAATTAAAATGGTGGGCACAGTGTCATATGGCTACTTGGGAGGTTGAGGCAGGAAGATTGAAAGTTCCAGATCAGCATAGGCAACTTAGCAAGACTCTGTCTCAAAATAAAACATAAAAAAGGCAGGGGTTATACCTCAGTGGCAAAGTAAGCCGGTTCAAAAGGACAAGGGAAAAAAAAAGAGAGAGACAGAGAAAATGAATTAAAACAAACTAGCATTATATAAGTATTATAGAATACTTACCCTCCGTATTTTTTAAAAGCTTGAATGTAACATATAAAGATCACCCCACTTGCTTCAATTTCAAAATGAAAACAAAAGCAATTTAAACTTTAAAAATACTTTTCAGAAAAGATTTGAAGAATCATGCCTTACCATTGTGAACATAGGTGAGCCTCCTTTCTTCTCTAGTTACAATGTTAGATATCCAAATATCATTGCTATGTATAAAAGCAATCCAGTCTGGATCAGCTGGGCATAATTTTGGATCCATCCGTATGTTGGGACAACTAGTTTCCACTAAATTGGGCCGTAAAGGTTGTTGCTAGACAGGTAAATGACATTTTAAGGTAGGTATCAGGTTGATGTACACATATCTGTCTGTAGTACCCTTTCTATAAAATGAAAAATATTTTTAGGAAAAATTTCAACTATGGGAGTTGTTCCCCAGGGAAAAAATATCTTTCAACTTCTTTAACTTATAAAGGACTCATTTTTTTTTTTTTTTTAAACTATGAATGAAAAAGCTAAGGGTAACAGGGAAGGTACTATATAGACAATATAAAAGCACATCATAAATTCTGTTGCTCCAACTTGTTTACTGGAGAAATTATTCTTTGTTAAATATTATCACTAAATGCTTATTTATTGAACATTTTATTAAACACTTTAAATTAATTTTAGCAATAAAAACTTTGCTCATAAAAATCTAATGAAAGCCAGCCAGGATCATCATAATTCTATCAAAAGAATAGCTCATACAGTTCATAAAGAATTGCTTAGAATAAAGCCACATAAAATCAAAATGAAAACATCTTTCAATATCTCCCTCAGTGCTTTCACAGAAAATGGGAATTGATGCCTTTTACTATTTTCCTATATAGTGAGAAGTTTGAGCATTTTGAAAATTGTATCAGTGTTACTAAAAACTTAAGTCTTAAATTTGGGAATTAGTACTATATTTCTTGTTTTCATTGCAACTAAATTTCTTGCTGGATAAACTAAATTTTTTGGTTTATTTGTTAATTACCTTTCTGATTTGGGCATTTACCTTTAGGACCCAAAATCAGATTTAACAAGCATTAACTACAACTTACGGTAAATCCTTGTGGCCCTCCATCTTTTACATGATAAATTCCACTACCAGCTTGAAACAGAAATGTTCCACTTCCTTGGTGATAATCATAAGAAGCAATTCCAACTGTTCCAATGCGTTTTCTTTCTCTTAATAGTTCTTCTTCTCGAGAATACATTCCATAGTCCAGTGTTGCCTAACAAAAGGAAAGTCACCTATTCCAGTCTTTTGAAAACTTGCCTTTTTTTTTTTTTTTTTTTTTGTGGTGGTGGTGATTGAACCCAGGGCCTGGTGCATGCTTAGGCAAGCACTCTACCAGCTGAGCTATATCCCCAGCCCCTTGCCTTTGCTTTTAACACTGAAATCCTGGCATCTCCAATATTACTAAGCCCACATTTTGTGTGACCCAAAATTTGCTGAAATTTCAAGCAGATTAATTTCAGGAAGTCTGCTGAAATATTCCCTACTAGTAAAGGGTCATTAGATGATTACTGTATAAAGAAAAAGAATGAAGCCCCATTATTTTGGAATTCATGACTCTCTGCAACATAACTGTAATTTAGTTAACATAGAGTTAAGACAGACATTTAAGTCAAGTGGTTTGAATACAGGCTTTGAGTCTTCACTGGAAGTCAGACTTTGGCAAGTAGCTTAATTTTGTCAAAAGTAATTTTCCTCAATTTCAATATAATAATAAATCATCGGTATCAGCTTTTGAAGATTCATTTAAATAAAAAAAATATATATAAAGTGTTTAGCACAATGACTGGCACACAGTAAGTTCTCAAATGTCAGCTGTTATTAGTACCTTTCCATTACATATACTAGCACTCTTCTAACAAAACCCTAAATGAAGCTGGTCACATCACTAACTTAAAACCCACTGACTGTGGCTTAGCATGTGCAAGGCCCTGGGTGTAATTTTCAGCACCAAAAAAGAAACCCCCCTAAAACAAAAACTCAAGATGTGATTTTTTCTATTTCCTGCCCTTTGCCTCATTTTACTCCCTTTCTCAAGGGCTTTCTACTTATCCAATTTTTACTTTTACCCAAAACCTTAGCTCAATTCAACCTGAGTTCAGCAGTTATCTTTTTTCTTTCTTTCTTTCTTTTTTTTTTTGGTACTTGAGATTGAATCCAGAGAGACTTAACCAATGAACCACATCCATAGTCCTTTTCATTTTTTATTTTGAGATAGGGACTCACTAATTTGCTTAGGGCCTCACTAAATTGCTGAGACTGGTCTTGAATTGCAATCCTCCTGCTTCAGCCTCTTGAGATACTGGAATTACAGGCGTGGCCACTGCGCTTGGCATGTTATGCTTTCTTCAAAAATTTTATAGGCATTACTATCTTTTTTACTTATTTCGATATGCTACTACCTTTCAGTTTTTCAGTATAGTTCCTAACTAGAAGAAAACAAACAAAAAAACAAGCTTGAGAGCAAAATCTGTCATTTTGTTTTTCTACCTACAACATATCTATTACAATCTCTGTTAAAGAACGTATGTAATTAATTATCAGCATGATGATGAGGGGTTTTATCAGATAGAAATATTGATATCTGTACAAATTTTAAAAAACAAAGAAGAAAACAAACCTAATAAGTGCTACCTTAAAAAATATCATATTCACATCACATAAGGGTTCTGTACCTTTTATCAGTATGCTAAACAACAGAAACATATTAAAGGAACAGATATGATTTCTGCTATGAAGGAATAATACTTTTGAAAGGAGTCTATAAGGTTATTTTATATATATCATTCCAAAATTAAGCTTGCACACTGAAAATAAACATCATTCAATTATTGCAAATATAGGTATATACTTGCAAACCTAAAACAATTTTGGATGAGGTTAAAAATGAGACAGCTTGGGGCTGGGGGTGTAGCTCAATGGTAAAGAATTTACTCAGCATAGTGTAGCCCTGCTTTTGATCTCCAGAACTACAAAAGAGAGAGAGTGAGAGAGAGAGAAACAACCTTAGAATCCCATTAAAATGCCACCTAGTTTTGTGGATTAACTATGAAATTATTTATTAATGTTCAGTTACATATATAATAGTGCCCCCTTTGTAGTTTTGCTTTCTGTAATTCATTATCCATGGTCTGAAAATGTTCAATGGAATATTTTAGAAATAAAAAATTCACAGATTTTTTTTAAAAAATATGTTTTTAGTTGTAGATGGACATAATACCTTTACTTTATTTTTATGAGGTGCTGAGGATCAAAGCCAGTACCTTCCACATGCAAGGTAAGTACTCTACCACTGAGCTACAACCCCAGCCGACAATTCATAGATTTTAAATTGCATGTCATTCTGGGTATTGTGATACAATTTTGCAGGATCCTGTTTCTCCTGTGTCATACATGAATCATTTCCTTGTCTGGTGTATCCTTGCTGTATATGCTACCCATCCAATACTCACTTAGCAGCTATCTCTAGTTGATTCTATGATCAACTATCAGAGAATTGTAGAACTTTGTTCAGATAATCTCTGATTTACTTAACAATGGTCCCAAAGTGCAAAAATAGTGATGCAGGCAATTCAGATAGGCCAAAGAGAAGTAATAAAATGCTTCCTTTAAATGAAGAGATAAAAGTTCTTGACTAAATACTGAAAGAAAGGACTGGGGATGCAGCTCAGGGGTAGAATGCTTGCCAAACATGTGCAAGGCCCTGGCCCAGTGTGACCAAAAAAAAGCATAAGATAATGAGCAAGAAAGAGAAGAGATGCATATCTCACACACACACACACACACACTCTTTTTAATTAGACACAATACCTTTATTTGTTTTTATGTGGTGCTAAGGATTGAACCCAGTGCCCCACACATGGAAGGCAAACGCTCTAACAACTGAGCTACAAACCCAGCCCCACAAAAGCAATCCTAAAAAAAAAATTAAGCAAAGAAAACCATATGTTGAGGTTGCTAAGACATATATTGTTATTAATATTTTACTCTTTTTGGTTAATTTTTTTTTTGTGGTCCTGGGGATTGAATCCCATAGCAACACATGTTACCAATGAGCTACATCTCAGAACTTTATTTTTTATTTTGAGACAAGTCTCCTAAGTTGCAGAAGCCGACCTTGAACTTGTGATTCTCTTGCCTCAGCCTCCTGAGTTGCTGGGATTACAAGTATGTGCCATCACACCTGGCTCACTTTGCTTAATTTATTTTTATTTTATTTTATTTTATTTTTTTAGAGAGAGAGAGAATTTTTTTTTAATATTTATTTTTTAGTTTTCGGTGGACACAACATCTTTGTTTGTATGTGGTGCTGAGGATCGAACCCGGGCCGCACGCATGCCAGGCAAGCACGCTACCACCTAAGCCACATCCCCAGCCCCAACTTTGCTTAATTTATAAATTAAACTTTATCATAGGGGCACTGGGGTCGTGGCTCAATAGTAAAGCATTTGCCTAGCACATGTTAGGCACTGGGTTTGATCCTCAGCACTACATAAAAATAAACAAATAACAAAAAGGCAATGTGTCCAACTACAACTAAAATAAAATAGTTTAAAAGAAAAACCTTTAGCATAGGAATGTATGAATAAGAAAAATATAGTATATATAGGGTTTAGTACCATCTGTGTTTTCGGGCATTCATTGGGGGTTTTCAAACACATTCCCCACCGATAGGGGGAAACTTGTTTGTGTTAGGCTGCAACAGGAAAAGTAGCAAAATCACTGATTGAACACTTTTAATTTGGATCATTTTATTTGTTTAAATCTCTCTCTCTCTCTTTTTTTTTTTTGGAATCAAGTATTGAACTCAACTGAGCCACATTCCCAGCTTAATTTTATATTTTATCAAAGATAGGGTTCTCACTGAGTTACTTAGCACCTCACCATTGCTGAGGCTAGCTTTGAACTCATCATTCTCCTGTCTCAGCCCCCTAAGCTGTTGGGATTACAGGTGTGCGCCATAGCACCCAGCTTTTTAAACACCTCTTAAGATTGTTTCCAATGAAGGCAAGAGAAATTTTGACTATATGATTATATTTTAACTTTTCCACTCATATTGACTACTAAGATTACCAAACTTGGGCTGAAGTCATGGCTCAGTGGTAGAATACTTGCCTGGCATGTGTGAGGCCTTGGATTCAATTCCCAGCACCACATATAAATAAATAAAAGATCCATTGACAACTAAAAAAAATATTAAAAAAAAAAAAATCACCAAACTTGGTCCATAATTCTTTTCTCCCTCCTTCTCCCTCTCCCTCTCTCTTTTTGCAGTATTAGGAATTGAATCCAGAACTGTGAGCATGCAAGGCAAGTATTTTACCACTAAGCTATATACCAGCACTTTTTATTTTGAGATAGTGTCTCCCTAAGTCACCCACGATGACCTTGAACTTGTGATCTCCCTGCATCTGCCTCTTGAGTAGATGTGATTACAGGTAGGTGCTACTGCACCTGACTTGGTCCATTCTTGGAATGTTTTAATGCTTCATAATTAGAATACAAGAAATTTTAGAGCAATTAACTTTCATAAAGAGAACTGTGTACTTTAACTTTGTGATCAAAAATCTGTTATTTGAAAGAATAAGATGGTCCAAAAAATCCTAAAAAAAGACCAATGTGGGGAACAACATTGGCCTTACTGTATACTAAAAAGTTAAAACATAAAAAACAGAATGAATAATGTATAGAATAGAAAAGTCTAACACAGAACACTGAGTACAGAAATTAGTAAGAAAAAGATGGTAGAGAAAAAAGTGGCGGTTTTACAATAAGTAAATGCTGATCTAAATTTGTTCAAATTACTGTATAGCCATATGCAAAAAGATAAAATTGGAACTGCATCTTACATATTCCAAATGGATCAGCAACTCAAGTGGTAAAAATGAAACTGACTTCCACTTATAGCCAAGATGGAGTAATAGGGTACAGATATACCCTCTCATCTGAAACTGAGAATATAGACAAAAATGTATGAAATAATGTTTTCAAGACACTAAACTTCAGTCAACAAAGGACAGTGATCTCTGAGAAATGGGAACCAAATGAGGTGAGGCTTACAATTGTCCCAGATAACTGCCTTGAGAGTTTCTAGACGATGGTGGTGCAAGTAGAGGGAAGAAATTACAAATGAAATCAAAGAAGTTACAAATGAAATTTAAAAAAAAAAATACTTTGACTTGAAAGCAATCAAAAACAAAACATCAAAACTTAAGG